TAATTTTTATTGATTTTTTAACAGAGAGGAAGGGAGAGAGATAGAGAGTTAGAAACATCCATCAGCTGCCTCCTGCACATCTCCCACCAGGGATGTGCCCGCAACCCAGGTACATGCCCTTGACCGGAATCAAACCTGGGACCTTTCAGTCCGCAGGTCAACGCTCTATCCACTGAGCCAAACCGGTTATGACAACACACCTACTTCTTTATTGCCTTCCTCTCCTGTTTCCCCCTTTGACCATATTTAACTTTACTGTCAGAAATTTGATTATAGTCTCCCACCCATAGACTCTAATGTCCATGGTAACAGATCTCTCTTTCCCTTCTCCCAACCCCTGCCCAAACATTGACATTTTCTCACAACAAATCAAAGAGATGTTGAAATCTGTTCACCTAAAGTCAAGGATACATTTATGATTATGTTCTTTTTTATTATAAGTGTTTTATTATATGTGTGTTTTTTTTTACTTAGTTCTTTTTATTATAATTCAAACACATTGTCAACATAGCCATTTTCTTTCTGCGTTCAACACTCCACACTATGGACAAGGTCTCCAGGATGAGGCTCCCACTCGGTGGGAGGCCGTACGTGATGGTGGCCACAGCACGGCTCTGCCTCTGAGGAGCTGTGTGACCTTCCTCAGCCTCAGTGATGTTTCTGATTTGTAAAATGCAGACAATATCTACATTGTGGGTTTTTTGTGGCAATTACACGAGAAATGCTTTTAGCAGAGGGCCTGTTATGACGGAGGAGTTCTATCAAAGGCAGCCAATAGCGTCTTTTAGGACATAAATCTTTCAGCGGAGGAAATGAGTGCACCAGATGCTTCACTTTTAGCAGAAGAAGAAAATTCTCAGTATCTGATGATAAAGAAGATGATGGTGGTGATGACTCCAGCTACCACTTCCTGGAGCATTCATTCTGTGCCACTGTTTGCTTCCAACAGCAGCCCTGTCAGGGCCCATTATTATTCCCAAAGGCTCAGCAACGTGCTCAGAGTGGCAGAGTCCAGACTCAAAAGTACTTGACTGTGAAGTCTGTGCTTTGGATGTTTGATAACCCCCAACACTTGTCCATGCCAGGTCAGCCACCACTCTTGGCCAGCCTGTCCACACGATCCATCTGGAAGGTCTGTGTTACACCCACAGTGACGCAGCTTCCACGCCTCCGTCCATTAGTCCAACCCATTTTTTTTGATGTCTTATCTCTCTGCTCCTTAGCTTCAGTTTGCTTTACTATGTAGTTGCTTTATAAGCATGCTAAGATAAATAGTTGAAACATATATAAATATCTCCTGATCCAATTCTGTTGCCTACTGCCTTCATTCTCTGATAACTATATAAGTGAAGGGAGAGGAGGATTCAGAGATGATTTCAAAGGTTTAATCCTGGGCAAATAGATGAGGTGCAATGTGGAAAGTTGAGAACTAAAGGATGGATGATATTTTTTTTTGCAAGTGAAGTCTAAGGTCAGAAGGCATTTAAGAAAAAACTGATTAATAAACACACACACACACACACACATACACACACATGGTAGATACTTAAAAAAAAGTTTCATTTTGAAGAACTCAAAAAATTTGTAAATTCAAATTTCTGTACATGAAAGTGTAGTACCACCGTATACTGAAGCAATGTACTATATTCGCCTTTTGGAAATACTGATATTAACCACTGAGCATATTTATAAATATATATTTTGAGGAGAAAGTGTCAGTGTCAAGGGGGTGGGGCCTAAAACATTGTAAATACCATGCCATTTTAATTGGACATTTTGCAACAAAAACATGTCATTTTTTTTTTCAAAATGTTTTTTGTTGTTTGTTTATGAAGTTTACATATCTGATATTTATAAAGTGCTTTCTCACTATAGGTTCATGGACCCTTGTCATCCCAGCATGGAGAAAAGATAGAGGACACGTGGGCAAATCCCTATCGCTCAGCTAACCTGGGGACATTCCATGACCCTGCAAAATTGGAGCTTCCCATACAGCAACTCTTTGAAGTTGAGATCAAGTCCTTAGTTCCCTTGGCCCAAGCATGTCAAACTCACGGCCCGCGGGCCGCATGTGGCCCGCAACGAATTTTTTTTTCGGCCCAGCCAATATAACGGTATGTAAGAAACGTTTTAATAAAAATTTCATAACTTAATTTTTACAATATCCCGTTACACATAATTATTAATAACGAACTACACGTTCGCTAATGACTGATTACTATAATCGTGTTGCCTTCATTTCCCTTACTTACCTTACGCGCAGGCGCACCATTTCTCTCCACTAACACTAGCAGCGAATATTTTAGCAGCCAATGGCCACGTCGTTAATCTTGAACTGACTTGTTGGGTGTGCGCAACAGGAAATATTTTGCTTTCAGAGAACAAGAAAAAATAGGTTTATTTGCATTACGCTTATTAACTTGTGCAGTTATTCAGTGTCTGGTAAGTTAATGTTCAAGAAAAAAAAATATTAACTTTTATTAAAATGTTCTATTATTTCATGTTAACGATGACTCATTTATTTCAGCCCTCTGTATTCAGTGTGTCTCTATTGAAATCTATGTTTCTATGAAAATTGAAGCTTTTGTTTTTTTTGCGGCCCACATACGCTGAAACCTTGTTTATTTGGCCCGCGTGAGCCTTTGAGTTTGACATGCTTGCTTTGGCCTCTCCATGCTCCTCGCTGCTCCCCTGCCAGGACCTCGCCTTGCCACACACGTGTCCATTGATTGTCGAAATGCTGGACAGCAAGCAAAGGAACGTGAGTTTTGACTTAATCTGAGGGGAAGGTCTTTGGCCCCAGGAAAGTTAACCAGTCGGAGTTTATCTTACTCATTTAGCTTGGTCAGAATCTGCAAATGTCACACAGCAGCAACGAGGGGCCAATTCCCTGGGTAGCATATCTGTAAGCATACACCCCGAAAGTATTGGTTGTGCACGTCTAGTTCTCTAAAAGAAAAAAGAAAGCCTCCCAAGCCACACAGTAGTACGAGGCAAAATATCTGATTACAGAGTCTAAAGCTGCTTTGTGCATGTAATTTTCGAAGAGAGAAAAAAAAAAAATTAAAAGCCAGCAGCAATGAAGTGCTTAGTGCAAGATTTCAGTTTTCAACCTCGCAGCTCTTGCATTTCAATCGGAGCAGCAGGAAGATTCCGCTGATCCTAAAGCTAACGAATGGCGAGAGGGAAATGCTTGCTTGCTTCGTTAGGCAGGTGGTTATTGTTTTAAAAACGAAGAGCCGCCAATCTGGCTGTAATCCAAGGCGTGTCACCTAATCCTGATCTAGAGCTATGCAGCCAGAGTCCCCAGCCCGCAAATATTTGATTAGCGCATATGTAAATTGTCCTGTGTTCTTGGCACAGGCCGAGTCAGGAATGACAATGTGGATTGTGATGTTCTTATACAGTCAGAGGTTCTTATCCCTGTATTTTTCCCTGTAAGGAAGTAAAACGTGTGTATTCAGGAGGTCTGAAGCTTGTGGTATATGGCAGATAATCTGCTGATATTCAATAAGGAAATAAACAATGAATGTAACCGCTCATGCCATTGTCTAAATGTAACAGATCTCTTTAACAATGAAATAGCATAGCGAACACTGAACTACGTAGTCACTCAAATGACTCTCAGCAATTTTCTTTATTGACCCCAGTTTCTGAGGCCTAGAGTCACTGACCCTGAGCCCCAAATTAGAAAATTAGATTTCAGAGCCTCCACTATGTATCAGAATCATTCAGGAACAGCGTAGAAGCCAAAATATGAGACACGTTTTCTTATTATATAATCAGTTGACAAGACATTTCAGCACTTTATCTGCTATGTGTACAGAGTGGCATCTGGAGAAGTAAAAATTGCTGTAATAAATGCTTAAAATCAAGGGTTTGCCATGCTCTCATTAACGTCCCTGGTACGAAGCCATGGATCTGGCTAACCCCAATCCAAATATAGTTTAAATAATACTAGGTAATTCTTACCATTCATATTGATAAAGACATACAAGAGATTGGAATTTGCCAAGAAATATTGTTGCTGTGATTTAACACACAGAAGAAGAATGGTATTTTATGTATTTTATATAACATACAATCTACAGAGAATTACTGTTTATCTAGAGAGCAAATCCTGGGAGTATGGATTTCATGTATATGTCCTGTAGGATTTGAATAAAAACCACAAATATATTTATCTCCCAAGCTTGCCAGTTAAAAAAAAAAAGGATGCAGGTAAAATTTTTCTGAATTATCTCCAGAGGTAATGAAATTATTGAGTTAAAAGGGTTTCTTACTTATAGGAATGAAAATGGGGAAGGGATAGAAGCAGAGGGCAGACAAGGGCCAGTCTTGCCTGGAGCTAGAAATGTATGCAATGCCTCTGAACAGACAATAGGAAACTAATGAGGTAAAAAGCCTGGCATGATTGTGATCTGATTTTCACAGATTAAACCAATGTCAGTGAGGAGAAGAGTGAATGAGCCTAAAATGGCTTTGAGACACCTGCAAATAACTGTATTTTCAGTGCAATAGTGTTTAGGCATTGTTTTATATGGCAATTTACGACAGAAGGAATGGAACAGGGATTTAGAAAGAGGGGGTACTGTACTCTTCCTTCACAACCCCCCACTCTAAATTGCACCCCCCTCTTAAGTTCCTTTGGCAGCGATGTCCCAGGAAGGAGTTGCCTGCTAATTCCTCTGCCTGTTTTATAAGTGATAGAATTCGATTGATAAGAAAAGAATTGAAGCTGGAGGCTGAACCCCAATCTTTAAAAAGGAAGGACACTTTACAGCCACTTGTACAGTATATGGGTTGCAATTTTTGGCAGAAACCTAGGGGCTATTTTTGATTCATTTATTTTATATTATCTTCTTTGGGACCTTGATCTGATATTTCTGGGTATATATTGTACTCAGAATTCAATTTAAGTGACCTCTTGTAGCCAAAATGAAATTTTTTACTGACAGCTCCATATAATGGGACATTTTCCCATACCTATTGGGCAACACCTATAAAACAAAGTTATACACCATTCTCTAGGGCAGTGGTTCTCAACCTGTGGGTCGTGACCCCTTTGGGGGTCGAACGACCCTTTCACAGGGGTCGCCTAAATACATCCTGCATATCAGGTATTTACATTACAATTCATAACAGTAGCAAAATTACAGTTATGAAGTAGCAACAAGAATAATTTTATAGTTGGGGGTCACCACAACATGAGGAACTGTATTAAAGGGTCGTGGCATTAGGAAGGTTGAGAACCACTGCTCTAGGGGCTAAGTGAGGATGGAGGAGACCTTTAAACTATGCTTCACACTTGAAATCTTTTGCTACCATTTAGAAAACAATAAAAATGAAATGGTGATCATTGTAAGACAAATACAAAAATATATGGACTCTCTGATAATTAATCATGAATGTGGTCAATGTGAAAATTTTATTTCCACATTTAACCACATTCAGTTAAGTGTCTGATCAGCTTAGTCGGACTTCATCGTGCCAGGAAAGTTCGATTCCGCTGGAAATGCAATTTGACTTTAAAGAAAGAAGCACAATGGAAGCAAGAGAACAAACTCATTTTTATTTTTTCATGATTTGTCTTCTTTTAAGGTCAGGTTCATTGAGCTATAATTTGCGTAAAGTAAAATCCACCCCTTTGAGTGTGAGCTTTGACAAACACATGGAATCATGTAACTGCCACAGTCAAGATAGAGCCCAGTTCCCTCACCTGCAAAAGTTTCCTCCGGCCCTCTGTCCTCCTCCTCTCTCTTTCACCTCAGCCCCTGGCAACTGCTTTTCTGTTTTTTGTCCTATGGTTCTATAGTTTTGCATTTTCTAGCGTGTCTTATCAATGAAATGACCCAAGCCTTGTGAGTTTAGCTTCTTTTATTTAGTATGAATATATTTGAGATTTACCTATGTTGTGTGTATCAGTAATTTATTTCTTTTTATTGCTAAACTAGAGGCCCGATGCATGAAATTCGTGCAAGGGGCTTGGCCCCGCCCTGGCGGCGGCTCCCTTGGCCCTTACCGCTGTGGCTTCGTCTGGAAGGTTGTCTGGAAGGACATTCGGTCTAATTAGCATATTACACTTTTATTATTATAGATAGTATTCCATATGGTTGCACTTATAAAATGGGAAAAAAACAACCTTTGGTGGCTATTCCTCCCATTTTGCTTATGGTGGAGTCAAGGGCAGACAGAGCTTCTATCTAGTGGCATTGGGACCCTCTCTGCAAATTATCCAATGAAAAGCCCTTGGACTACACCTTTCAGCCTAGGAAAACCCAAACCAAAGAAACCAAAGGAGCATGATGTTTTATAAATATGGACCATGTTCTCATACCACTGGGGGACAATTCTGATGAGAGAAGAGTCGCTGGGACTGATTCCAAACTAAATTCCCACTGGTACCAGGGATTGTTATTTGTTCATTTGTTTTTTAGTGTTGTGTTTTTCAAAAATAAATCTGTGTAGATAAAAAAGTCAACATTTATGGTTTTTCTGAAAGAAGAAGAAAGAAAGAAAGAACCTTAGAGAAACCATTGGGAGAAAGTCTTAAAAGATGATTACACAGGTCATTAATTAAGATATTACTTTTCAAAATAGCAGTGCATATATTTTTTCTAGCACTTTCTAATATGTAAAGCACTTACGACACATACTATCTCATTTGATTCCCATAGTGACCCGTGGAGCCTGAAGGGAGATGTTAACCATAATTTACAGATGAAGAAGCTGAGTCCAAGGACACAATGGCTGCTCAAGGTCAATAGTGGGTAGTTGTCAACACTGGCTTGAAAGCCTGAGATTTTTGAATCCCCAACTAGTGGAAACAGCAGCACCAAATTCTGAGTAATGAATTTCAGTAGGAGTAAATATTGTCAGAGCTCAGTATTTAGGAAGGTTGTAGCTAAACTCATACGAAAATTCAGCTGTAAATACCTTGTTAATTCATGAAAGATTGGAATTTTCTTTAAAAAGTACAATCTCACCACGTTATTAGGTTAAGCACTTCTAAAAAACAACAACAACAAGGAAACTACAATGTATTATAAATTAGACCATTTTGGAATTTGTGCAATTTAAATGGATGAGTTATTTTA